TTTTTCAGGGTTAATTATATTTTTTGAGATCGTTACAACCTTAATAAATGTTTTCATTTTTTACGTTTTTTTTTTAATAAAAAATTAGACTCAGTGCTATTTTAGCCGGCCGCCCTCTCCCGCTACCGCCAAAAACGAAACTTTTTGTTTTTTTTTTTGGTGAGTTGCAATCAATTTAAAAATTTCAAAAAATTTACACGTATATTTAAGACTCTTACAAAAACTTTGTAACCTAACAATGCATTCTTTTTTTCGAAAAAACTGTATACCTTTTTTTGGAGATGGGCGCAGGTCAGTAGTTTCTTCTTATTTCATGTATTTTATTAAAAAACTGTATTTCTGATTTTTTCAAGATTTTACATCAGGTATCAGGTGCGCCACCTTATAAAACCAAAAACACTGGGGATTTTTTTCCATTTTATAAACTTTAAAATAGATCATATCAAAGTTTTTTATTGCGCTATATATAATTTAAAGCAACTGAATTTTTAAGGACATTCAAAAATTAGGAGAAACACCTTTAAACCCCCAAAAAATCATGATTTTTTAGGATTTTTAAGGGGTTACTCATATTATTTGAGATCATTTATTTTTTACGTTTTATGTGAATAAAAAATAAGACTCGCCATACTTTTAGCCCACCACCCCCACGCCTTACCCTCCAGAACGTCATATTTTTGCTTTTATTATTTTATTTCCGTGTGTTGTAATCAATTTAAAAATTTCAAAAAATTCACTCGAATATTTAAGACCTTTATATAACTTGTTTATTTAAAAAATATGATTAATCTGCAAAAACTAGCAAAAACTCTTAAAAACCCCTGACAAAACATGGTTTTTTGGTGGTTTAAAGGTTTTTTGCCCAATTTTTGAATGCCCTAAAGGACATAGTTACTATAAATTAGGTATATAATGTAATCTATAATAAATCTCTAATTTGATCTATTTTGAAATGTATAAAATGTTAAAAATCACCAAAAAACCCATAAAAACCAGTTTTTGGGGGTTTTGAAGGTGGTGCACCTGACGGAAAAATCTAAAAAAATCAGAAATATATATTTTAATTATAAATACATACAATATAAAAAAAACTAGACCAGCAGCTGTCTCCAAACAAAAGTTATACTCTTTAAAAACATACATTTTTAGGTTATGTTCACTCAACTATGAGTCTATAAAATACACAAGTTTTGTAAAGAAGTCAACAATGCTTGTGAATTTTTTGAAATTTTTGAAATTTATTTTATTATATAATATTTAATACATTTTTAAATGGAAGTGTTGACAGTCATTAAATAAGTAACCGATTTTAAGAAGCACTGAGCACTTTTAGAAATCAAAAGAAGAACGAAACAAATATTTTTGCTAATATATGGCCACTAAAGAAGAAGAATATGAACTTAGAATGTATCATAGGTGATTACGAATTTCATGGGTGTAGAAAATCACCAATACGGAGATGCTACGATGGATAATAAAAGGAAAAAGCCTTATCGAAAATATATCCTGAATATCTTATCGCTTCCTCTTGTTCTATCCTTAAGGATGTTCCCTGTTCTCAATATAACTTATATCGTTGTTTTTTATGTCCATCCCATGTAGAATGTTATAAAGCATTGCAAGATGTTGCAATTTTTACTATAGAACAGATAACCCAAATATTGCTTCCTTAGTTCTCATTCGCTTTCAAAAACCAAATGGTCGTCTTATATTCGATATATAGAAAATATGAGATGGATTCTGCCTTCTTCCGCCGTGTTTATTCTCTTTACAGAGTCTTTACAAAGAATCACTTATTTTATTGAAACGATTGCGGCGCCTCAAACAAGAAAAACGTATGAAAACTATAAAAAATTTACCATATTTAAAACTGCTTTTGTAACAAAAGATCTCATAGTCATATACTTTTTGAAGGCAACTTACAAATTAAGTACCTACGTTAGGAATATATAAAAGTGCAGAGTTTACATTGCAGTTCGTCATTCGCAGAAGCTGGTTACATCGTATAAATAGGAAAGAACATCACACATACTAAAATATCTACATGATTATTGGCAATATACTTTGGCACATATCTGTACATGAACATTCATACACTATTCACATATGCATACATTTGATACATATAAAATGTAATCTGTCAGGGAAAGCAGTCAAGTTGAAAGGTTTAGTGAAAAACTTTGACGATTTATACAGTAATAGTTTTTGTTTCTATTCCCTAAGAGCGAATGCCAGAATTATAGACCAATTACATTGCTAAATGTAATATGCAAAATCGTTTCTGGCATTTTTTACACTAGATTGTCAGAATACACAGAAAATATAAGTGGTGATTATCAAAATGGATTCATACCAAATAGAGCCACTAGAGACAACATATATTCATACTTAGAACAACACAAGAGACAGCTTATAAGTACTACATAGAACTATATAACATGTATATAGACTTTAAACAAGCTTTTAATAGTATGAAAAGAGACAAAATGCTGGAAGACCTCCGAAATCTAGGTATACCAAAAAACTATATCAGCCTCATAAAAATGACGTTGCAGGTTCAAAAGCCGCAGTTAGAGTAGATGGAGAACTGTCTCCCCTGTTTGACATCAACAGGGGGTGATACAGGGAGATGTACTTTGAACCATGCTGTTCAACCTAGTTCTTGAAGTAATCATCATATGTAACCTATGTAGCCGGTCATATAAACACCAAAACAGTACAAATTACTGCATATGCAGATGATGTCGCCATTATTAGTAGACACGAGTCCAAGACACGACTAATGGAAATGTTCAAGGAAATTGATCCTGAAACACAAAAAATAGTGGAAATCGTACATACTATGCTAATAAAAGATTGATGACATCGAAATTATTAGATAAAAGAACCAACATGACTAGCTACAGCACTTTGATTAGACCCATAATAACCTGTGGTTGTGAAACCTGGGTAATGACGACAAAAGAGGTAGCCCAACTCATGACATTTGAGAGAAAGATACTGAGAAAAGTATATGCCCCGGTGCAAGAAGAAGACGGTACATGGAAACTCAGGAGAAATGACGAGGTTAATGAACTGAATGAAGGGTATGATATTGTAAGATTTTGAAAAGTCAAAGAATGTCATGGCTGGGACATGTTCAGCGACAGACAAGACATGAAAACAAAGAAGATGTTACAGTGGAACTCGGTAGAAAGGCGTAAAAATGATAGGCCCGGGACGAGATGGTTGGATGACCTAGACGACCTGAAGACTATGAATATAAGACAATGCAGGAGAAGGGCTCAAGAGAGATCTGAATGGAAGGATATAGCGAGACAGGCAAAGACCCATCCAGGGTTATGCTGCCAAAAGAAGAAGAAGTTTTGTTTCTATAAATTGATAATTCTAGCCCAAAATTTCTATTTGATTGTGTGCATCTTATAAATAGGATATGTGAAGACGTCGTGAAATAGATGTGAAAGGTGACATTCTGATTTTTACAAAAAAAAAACTGTGTGGTAACTGCAGTAATAATTGACTTACCCTTTCTCTCAAATGGGTCGGGAATATTAATGAAAAAATATAAAAACAGATCCGCTCTGGTCTAAAAGGTAAAAGTAGTTTGATGTGGATATATCATGTGAATGATAAAAAACAAACAAGGAAAACATGGGAAGACTCAGAAAACACTAGACGCACTAAACAAATACAGAGACAACAGACATTAACAAGTTAAATAAAACAATAACAGAAACACCAATAAATGAAACAAACAAACAATGTTCAAAACGGGATAAAGATAATAAAATCAGCTCCCACGCCAAAGCATTAATGGAAGAATAAGGAGAGTTGAATCTCAACAACCTAGCACCTCAAAAAATAAATTCTATAATCAAATAGATCTCCAAAACTATTGAGGTACATAATAACACATGTTTCATTTTGTACCATACTGAATTGGCATATGAAATGGCTGCTAAAAACAATATCTATACCAGAATCTTAGACAATCATGTGCAAGCAAAGATTGATTAAGGACATTTATAGAAAGAAATTCATCATTAAGCCTCAGAACATTTCGACATAAAAAAGACCTTTTATTACCCCATTCGACATACGGGGTTTTCCTAAGGCCGCACCCAAATCAAGGAAAAGTGTAATTTTAAAAAGTACACCAGAAATGAAAGAGCTTTCTTATAAAATGGAAGGGAAGAAAACCCCCATAACAGCAGCAGTCAAGAAAGAGAAACGAAATATTTGTCAAGCTTTAAGCACAAAAGGCTGTAAAAAGGATCCTCCTAGAAAAAAGACCAATCCAGGTGAAAGTGATTCAGAAACGGATTCCGGAAGTTTAGAGTTGGCAGACTCTTCAGATGATGAATTAAGTTCTCCTATGATGCAGCAACAAAAGGGGGACTCAGAATCTTACACAATTGCTGAAAATGGTGAATTTTAAAAGACTCTTTCGTGTTAGAGAAATTTGAGAGGAATGTTTATTATGTAGCCATAATTTTGGAAATTTAAGAAAAAGTACGAAAGTTTTCAATCCATTTTACTTTCCAGATGTTTCTGATCTGAACTATATCACCGGTGATACACATTAAAAGAAATTCAGTATTGCATGTTTCTGAAAATTTCCAAGTTACTATTTTTACTTTACTCATAATAACTATCAAATTTCATAGAGAAAAGTACACAGATAACAGAACTCTAAATGGAGATTTTTTCGAAGATTGTATTCCGATGTTAGAGTACATTTCCTAATAAATGTGTCATTGTGTACCAGTCTCCCCTCAGCTATGAACAGTTGAACAGTAGTTTTTCAACCAAAGGAGTAACATCCATGTCCACAATTTTTTAGGGGGCTGATGGAAGATAACCAAAGACTGAAAACAATTGAAGATACCAAAACTAGGGTTTCAAAATTTTTTTTACTGCTTAAATCGTCAACATTTCACTAATATTACGCTATTGATTATCATCAGTCAAAAATCAAATATACAAATCTCAGATTCGATTTAGTTGCACACATGCTCTTCCCGTTTCGACCTACAAATATCACATACAACGTTGCAGCACCAGACGAATCTGCAGTTGCATTTTTCTTCCACCTCCCTTACTCTAGTTTGGTAGCCTCTTCCGCAGCACAGAAGACGACAACCGTCCATTCCGTGGCTCGTTCGATTGCATATTCTTCCGTGTGTGCCGAGGATATTTAATCTGAAAATGTTTAAAAGCATTTAATCACATTTTAATGTACAAAAATAGAATGTGTTATAATAAAAGTCAATATTTGATTGAAATGAGGTTGAATGCTCGAATAAATGAACTTTGAAAATAAGGCTATTATCGAGCACAAGTTAATAAATCTAGCCAAGTACTTCGATGCTATTTTAGCGAAAGTCTTGGGCTAGATTTATTAACTTGTGTCGATAAGCCTTATTTTCAAAGTTCAAATCATAAATCACGACGCCCCTTTTATAAAGATTTAGTTATTGCGAAATCTGTAACATCTCTTAGAATATTCAAATGCGTTTTAGAATGAATCTCGGAGTATGGAAACTTAATAAAAGCTTAAATATCCTTGCCTCAAAATACACTCAAACTGTCAAGCGATCGGTCGCGCAGTGTCAATACAATCTACCAAAGGGATTAATTTGTGAAATAGTGTTAAGTTAAGAGAATGTCTATATATGTAGGGCTTTTAGTACCGGATTGTTATTATTTTAATAGATTTTAGATACTCCATATGATTCTGCATATTATGTATTAAGCGTTTCTCGTTAATAATGAAATAGAATAGAAAATGGGTAATTAATATTAACCTTTCGTTACTGTGGGAACATATATTATGTCACCAGCAGATTTCAAAAATCTGTTTTGTTTCTGTTTGTCCCCAAAGCCCATCTTATTTGAATGCATCCCTATTTTTAGACATTCCTTACTCATTATATAGTAGTATGCAATCTATATATCACGTCTGTAACCTATAAATTAATGTTAACTAAACACATGCATCAACAACTAGTAAATAATACAATTTTGTTAAGAAAAAGTGGCAGCTCTGTTTTTTTAACCGATAATACACAATTTAGTTCCTGATTAACACAGGTTAGTGATATATATTGTTTATTTTTGATATTGTTTTCATCGATTTTACCATAATTTCTAAACGGGACTCTAGTGTCCCAGTGTTTTAAACCTTTCAAATATTTCTGAAAATTAATCCAAGGAAGAACCTTATGTTGCCTCATAGTCTGATTATGTACCTGGTGACGATTCTGCTCAGACTCTGATGAAGTACCTCTGACTGTGTGGATGTAAACATCACTGCTTCCGACCAAGGAAGTTCTGATAACGCGAAATATCTTAAGATGAGTCTGAAAGGTATGAATTGATTGCACAATGGAATATACTAAATACAAACTTTTGTCCAATTATCACAGCAAAACTGTTGGAATTATCAACAGAAATCTAAAAACTGGAGAAAAAGCTGCGTTCACTTGTCCAGAAGCAATTATTTTTTACAATTATTTTATGGGAGGAGTAGATCTCGCCGACCAAACGTTGAAAGTACAAATGAAGTGTAGCGAAAATCTGCGAAATGGTGGAGAAAAGTTTTTTATATATTAGTTATTATGTACGCAATTGTAAATTCTTGGATTATTTACAAGGATTTGCATAAAATAAGTGTACAACAAGATAATAGAAAATTTTCACTTTTGAATTTTTTGGTGCCACTAGCAGAACAGACAGTTAAATTAGAAAGATCGGAGTCAAATGTAAAAAGACGTCTAAGTGACCGTTAGACGGTCACTTAGACGTCTAACGGTCTGGAAAAATATCTAAATGACAAAAGGAGATGATCAATGTTAGAGACCATTTGCCACAAGAAATACCTACTAGGAGACGGTGCTGTAGATGTTCACAAAGTAAATCAGAAACTCGAACTACGACTATTTGTACAACGTGCAATGTGCCCCTGTGCAAAATTGTCTTTTACCAGATCATTTATAAAAAGTAATGTTTGTTTTGTGTAATGTACTTTTTTATTTTGAATATAAGTTTGTCTTTACTGATTGGATTTATTAATCCCACCATTCAATACTAATGGGATATATATGTCCCATGTCCTTTCTAAGAATACAAGGACATGCAACAATGTAAACAAAAATCAATCGCTTTGTTAGGTGTCTAGGAATCAACGAATATTATTAAAGTCATTTTAAAAAGTTTTATTTAGCTACGAAAAAATCAGTAATGAAAGGGTTAAGTGCCATCTTACTCCGGAAAGTCCTCTGTGTTTTCTTATGACTAGTGTGACTTGTGCTACGTTAAAGAAAATCTTGTGGGTGATGATTTTACAGTGATGATGATTTTGAGTCTTTTAATCAGGGGCGTAGCTAGGGTGAAGCGGGAGGGACGGTCCGCCCGGGCGTCACCCGTTTGTGGGTGACTCGATCACAAAAGAATGAATCGTTAATATGCAACTTTACTAAATTTTGTGAACACATCAAACGGCATTTTTATTTTTTTTTCTGCTTCCACTATCCGCTGGGAAGTGCTTATTAAACACAGCAAAGCATCTGTTTAACGACTTTCTACAACGTGTTGTACAAGTGCTCATTATGCTGCATTTAAAGTATTGGCAGACCATGTTAAGAGTGTATTTACTGCAATTGAGGAATTATGTCATCAACAAAAAAAATTAGATGCCAGAGGTGCTGCACATAATTGTTATCCTTTCTCTTGGAATGATGTACTTAAAGAAATACATTTTTGTTAGATTGAATTCCAACGGTATCACCGTCGATCAATCAGCGACCAAAATAGGTGCACTTCGTCTTTATATTGAAGAAAAACGTGGTCATATTACAGATGAATGGTCAAAAACGAATGGATAGTGAATTAGCTACCGATACAGAACTCACACTTCGAGACACCACTTCGAAAGTTAGAATGTTTTGATCGATTTAATGTTGAACTCGACACCAGATCAAAGTCCATTCATGATGTGGCTTCATTGTTCGAGGTTGTGCTGACTTATAGTTTGCTTTTCGCGAATGCTGAACAGTTAAAATTAGCTGTTTTAACATTTTGTGGTTTTTACCATGAATAAGTATCAGAAGCAGACCTCCTGCTAGAAATACCAAGGCTCAGAAGACATTAACCAACGGCCAATATTACAGTCCCTAAATGGTTAGCTGTAGACTTTTTAATTTATTGTGAAATGGGATTTCATGGAATCCCTCCCAAACTTATTGGTCGCAATAAAATTGTTTATGACCAATTTGTGTATCGGTTGCTATGTGGGAAAAATTTTAGTACACTCAAACTCATCATGAATTACTTGCGAGCAACAATGATGCAAACAAGGCTAAATAACCTTAGTTTATTAACTATAGGACATTAAGCAACACAAAACATAAATACAAAAGATGTGATTTCAGAGTTTGTCGGTATTAAAGCTAGAAATAACATATTTTAGTTTATTCGCATAATATAAAACAAAACAAATGTTATATACTGCAGTTTCATTAACATATATATGTTATTTCTATATAAATTTTTATTTTTTTTCATCATTCATGATAAAACACACGTTTATCGGATTTTCGTTGATTTTAACAATTTTTATTTTTAGGATTTGAGGGTGGCACCATCGTTTACTGCCCCAGGTGTTACCCATGCTACTATACCACTACTTTTAATCCTTTGTATTTTACTTTCTCTCATACAATTGTATTATAGGTGTGAGGTTTGTCAAATGATTAACACCTGTGACATCTTTGTAGGACAACCGATTTATTACAGAGACATGAGTCTACGATCATGTCATATACACGTTTTATATACGCTAACTTTTATCAATTAAAACAGTTATCGAACACAGAATTATAAAAAGTTACTTACGTCTCATTTTTTTCACAATAATCCGGTGAGTCGTCCAAATAAACCAGATCAGTCCTGATCGGCTTCTTCAAATCCGGACTTACTGCCTTCAATTTTTTCCTACGCCTCTCGACAAATTTAACATGCGAGGCGCCCTCGTACCTTTGGAAGAGGCCCTCTGCTACTTTTCTGAAAGGAGGTAGTCGTCTCCAGCAGATCTGCATGCTGCAGGATCCGGAAACTCCATGACATTTGCAGGTACGCTGCATTCTGGAGCGAACACTCTAGAAACATAAAAAGCTTTGTTCAAATAATGTCTGCGACTTCCTTTATCTACACAATATATGCAATACACAATACACACCAAAACAGTCAGAATTTGATATTTCATGAGTAAAAACACCATACATAGATTTTTTGGCAACCAAAAAAGGCATTGTCTACAACATCGAGACAAAGTAAGTCAACAGTCAGACTTGAAAACAAACTAACAAACAAACTTAACAACTGGTTGGTTGGTTATACTTTTTGCACAATTTTTTAAATGTCTTTTTTGAAACGATTTTTTAGAGTGAAAATCGAAACGTCAACCGTTGTTTTAAAATGTAATTTTCATTACAATCAATTGTGGCTTATCATTCCAAATGGAATAAATCCATTATTATTTCCTATAAAAAAGCAGTTCCCGCCCAACTCTTCAAACTCGTTTAGGCCAATCTCCCTAAGATGTACCCTTTGCAACTTATTGGAAAAAATGATCAACAAGCGATTAATCCTGCTACCTAGAAAAAAAAAACAATATCCTTAACCCTGCTCACTCAGGATTTAGACATAATCGAAGCAAATGCTATGGCCTCCAAGCAAGACGTAACCGCAGTAATTTTTGATATAGGAAGTAGAAGGATACAACATGTAAGTCGGTTATTCTTAAAAAAAACTGGTAGAAAATAATCTTAAGAGCAACATATTATGCTTTATAAACAACTTTTTAAATAATAGAAATTTCAGAATCACAGTTAACGGAGTATTATCCGACAACTATGTCACTGAAAATGGTGTAAGCCAAGTTTGTACTTTGAGTTCTACCCTCTTTCTACTAGCCTCAATGATATTTGCTCTCATATTAAATCTTCCGTTAAATTTGCCCTCTACGCAGATGACTTTATTGTATACTGTCCAGGAAAATTCACAACTGCAACCTATCTTTATTACAAAATTCTGTCGAGTCTCTTAGTACATGGTCCGAGAAAACTGGCTTCAGGTTCTCTTCCAATAAATCCATAATAATCAAATTCACCAGGAGATACAACAGCGCAAAAATACTCAAAATAACACTAAACGGAGTAAATTTAGAGTTAATTCATCATTACAAGTTATTAGGACTAACTGTCGATAAGAAACTCACCTGGCGTCATCATATAGATGAAATAAAAGGCAACTGTGAATTACTACACAAAATATATCGGGCTATAATCCGATCCAAATTAGATATGGTTGTATAGTTTACTTGCCCGTATCCAATAATTTATTACAATCATTTAACTCTATTCACAACACTGCTCTCCGAATTTGCTTGGGAGCAATTCAATCCAGTCCCGCTGAAAGTCTCTATTGTGAATCTCATAAACTCCCCTTTACCTTCGGAGGCAGCAACTTTTATTTTATTCTTCTTCTTCTAGTGCCGTCTTCACTAATGAAGGTTGGCTATAACCATTGAAAATTCGTCTCTATCTTCTGCTTTTCTTAAGAGTGTCTGTTTGTTTAACCCCATCCAGTCGCGAATGTTTTCAGCCAGGATATTTGTCGTCTAACAGGATCCCTTTTTCCTTTGATTTTACCCTTTATAATCAGCTGCAACAACTCGTACTTATCATTTCTAAGTGTGTTCCCCAAATATGCTGTCTTTCGCCTTTCAATGGTGATCAAAAGTTCTCTGTCTCTTTCCATTCTGTGCAACATCATTTCGTTCGTAATATGATGAGTCCATGGTATCTTCAAAATTGTCCTAAAAATCGACATCTCAAAAGCTTCCAGTTTTCTCATTAGGTCAACACTCCTATCTTATGCCAGCAGAATTTCATCGAATCCGACTAACCCTGAATTCAATCTTCTGACTTCGCCAAGACCTGGACTCGTAAACTCGCCCAGATCGATACTTTCAATCTCATAGATCCTACAACCTTTGTGTCAAGACACAAAATTATCTCAAACACATGCATCTATAAAATCAGAATCCCCGCCATGGTCTAGAACACCTTTTATAAATACTTCCCTCTGTAAATTTAATATGCAACAAACAAATAATATCATTTTTCGACAAGCTGTCAAGGATATTGTGAATACGTCCCACTAAGATAAGGTGCTTTATACCGATGCATCCCGAAACACATATGGAGTAGGCTGTTCTGTCACAACAGTTGATACAGTATTAGGACAATACCGAATATCCAACGAATGTAGTGTGTTTTCGGAAGAACTCTTCAGTATTTCAAAAGCTCTTGAGTTCCCTGTTAACAATCATCAAAGTGTAGTTCTGTGGACCAATTCCTTATCCGAAATTGATTCGTTAGAAAATATTTACAATCAACATCACATAGTTCAAAAAATACTAGAATCGATCCATCTTCACACTTCCCGAGGGACTTTAATAACAATAAGAGGGATGCCTTCTCATATCGGCATCCAAGGAAATGAGATAGCTGACGGCGCTGCAAAAGAAGCGTCTACACGCTAAACTTACCCATCTACAACATACAGCTACAAGAATATATAAAATCAAAATTCAAAAGGAATATCTAAACCAAGTGGCAGGAACTTTGGATCACCAAAAACACAAAGCTCAGAGAAATACAACCTAATGGTAACAGCTATTTATCCCTAGCATCTCTGAACAGAAAAGAGAAGATAGCAATACGAAGATTGAGGATAGGACACACACGTTTGACACACGGTCATCTTACGTCTTTTAGAGACCAACAGTTATGCTCCCACTACAACGATATTCCTCCCTATTACCGTCAAGCACATCCTCACAGAATGTCAACACTATCAGGCCAATCGCATTGCCAACAATATAATTTTTTGACAGTTTAAAAAAACTTCTGAACTGTTCAAGCCGACTCAAGAACCTAATAGACTTCTTAAAGACTACACAATTGTTTAACAAAATAAAATTTACATTTGTTATTCTTTACTATTGTAAACCCTATATCATAACTCTGTAGGTACTATTGTAAACCTTTGCTCCCGTGTCAATGACCAAAGATGTCGAGACACGTTAATTCGAAATAAAAAAAAATTGTGGCTTAACCCACGGTTATTTAAAATTGCTAATAATAATGTTTTATGACAGTTTATTGACATTAATACTTACACGTCTGCCCGCCTCATTATTGTGCAAATTCATTAGTCCCAAAGCAGTGTTGGGATCTTCTCGTATGTCCAAAAACTGTTTACTGAAGTTTTCACCGTATCTAATATCATCGGAACAACCTCCCCATTTGAATTTCTGCGTTTTTCGTTTCTTTATTTTATTATCACAAGAACAGTATTCAGCTAATTCACCTTTCGAACATGCTCTGGTAACAGCATAAGCGACACTTGCTGCTGAAATCGCTGATAGGTATGCTGCTTCTCTGCTTCCTAAAATGTAACCATTATTTTAGCATAAAATTTTGCAACCAATGAAAACATGACTCAGATTTTGGGACATTAAGTATATAATATTTACATTAAACAGTATAATATTGGGTGAAGTGAAAAAATACAAAAACAACCAAATAAAACACTAAATGGACCTCCTTTAACATCGAATCCACCTACGCATACTCCGTTATAGTTACTTCCAACTTTATATTGAAACTAAAAATGCCATCATAAATAAAGCGACCAAAGAAGTGAAAAACAACACTGTAAACAAAATATCAAAAACCAGAAACTCGAAAAATATGATATCATTACTAGAGAAATGTTACAAAAGGAACGATAGAAGCTGTGAAGATCTAATACAGCTGAACAAAAGAATATCTAATGAAATCAGGAAAGTTGTAAAAAAATCAATACTTAAAGTGCAAGACGTGTAGAAGAAAATAAAAATATAAAGGTGTCACGGAAAAAGCTGTCAAAGGAAAAGAGAGAAATAACAGAGAGAAGTGAAAATAACAGAAAACTTCTACACTGAACTATATAAAATTGGTCATTAAATACGAGGAAGTCAACAGCAGCAGCGAAAAAGAATAATCAACCAAGGATCAGAGCTTATGCCGCATATAACTCAAGAAGAAATCAGAATAACGAGAAATGAAAAATAACAAAGCTCCAGGCGAAGACGGAGTGATATAGGTTGTAAAACTTAAAGAAAAACCACTATTAAAACGGATTAACCACTTGTACCACGGATACCACTTGTAAAATTTTAGTTGTAAATTTTAGAGTAGTGTCTAACAAGTTTATACACTGTCTTGGAAGAACACAGGCATCAACATCGCCGGCGAAAAGTCAACTCATTTTAGATTCGCAGATGACATCATTCTTATCACAGACAACATTTCTGATGCAAAACAGATGCCTGAGGAATTGTTAAAGGCCTCAACACTCAAATAATGACAAATATAGTGCTTGCACAAAACGTAAGAATAGGCTACATCGACATAAAATAAACACATGTGTACAAATACCTTCTACAAGAAATACAAATGGGAAAGATCAACCAAACGCTTGGGATAAAGCGTAGAATAAGTTTGGATTTGTCTGCTTTTGAAAAATTACAGTAGATATTTAAGAGGAATATACGCATATCTCTGAAGAGAAAAGCATATCATCAGTAAGCGTTACCGGTAATGACATACGGAGCGGAAACATTAACAACACAAAAAGATGGCGGAAAATTTAAGTGTAGCCTAAAGAGCCATGGAAAGAGTCATTCTTGAAATCACTAAAAGAGACAAAATATAGGTTATTCCACGAATATACGACTGTTTTGGTTTACTGCGACAACGAATATTTTACTGTGCAAGTAGGAGTATGACGGTAAATTGGTCCAATCATTATTCCAATAAAAGGGGTCTACTAGTATGACATCTAAACTAAAATTATTTTAGTTAAAATCTACAAATAAATACAATGACGTCTATGAAGCCAAATGTGTTCATCAGATATTTGGGTAAGCTTTCCGTGAAATGTAAACACCAAATAGGCGTGCTGAGTTTCTTTGATATTACTCTATTTTATTACTTTATTAGGTATTAAAACTGTAATAAAAAGAAATATATTATTTTTAATATAAATGAAAAGAAATTGTCAGAACGATGGTTCAGAAACCAGAAAAAGGATCTAATATTTCACTTTGTTAGTTTTAAATATTTGTTTGCTTTGTTAAAGTACCGAGTTGTTACAGATATTAAAAAGTAACGAAAATTTATATACAGTTTCATATATCGCCGACTGATTATGGCTGTGAATCTGATCGTTGATGATAGTTTTAGAAGATTAAGAGAATAAGTGAATAATTAATTTTTTTTTGTTTTTTTAATACTAACTGAATATTGGACTAAATAAATTACACTATTTGATGTCTTAAGTATTGTTACATTTCGTTTAAATCACATAATTCAAAAACCAACCTGTTTACAATACTAAACTGCATGATAGTAATTATATACTTCAACATCTGAATTACTACTGTTCTATAAACTATTAACTTTATATTTATATCATGACTTCATATTTAAACCTAAGGATTATATCTGTCGTAACCAGTTTTTTAAAAATGGGGAGAATTTACTATTGTACAATTCAGCACATTGTACCATTTAAATCAACGCCTTAAAACGAATTTAAAACACAGTCGTATATTCGTGGAAATGGAGTATACCCAACAACCTTATCAGACATAGAAAGAGAGATGGGCTAGAAGAATCTTAGAATGGCGACCACCAGCAGACAAACGTAGCAGAGGTCGACCATTGACGTGTTGAAGCTACAACGTATAAAGAATTGCTGGGATCTGGATGATGGCAGCTCAGAATCGAGAGACATAGAGGAGGTTGGAGTAGACCTATGTTCATCAACGAATAGTAACGGCTACATGATGATGATGATGATAAATAAGGTAAGCTAGTTAAATACATTGGTATATACGTAGAATACGCTGAGTATACCCGGTAAAAATATATACAACTTATATACTGGAATGAGTAGTGTTTACAAAAGACGGAAATAGCCATAAAGAAATAAATACAAGAATAAACAAAGGCAGAAACATAACCAAATGCCTAAACTCCATTCTCTGGGATAAAAAAAAAATCACAAGAACGACGAAAAAACGAATATATAAGACGATGGTTGAGCCGGTGGTAACATACGGAGCAGAGATATGGGACACTAGTAAAAGAAACAGGAAAAAATTACAAGCTACCGAGATGGATTTTATGAGAAGAAGGTGAAGAATTAACAAGGATGAACAGAATCCGCAATGAAGAAAATAAAACGTAGAATGGAGCAAGAAAAGACATTATATATGAAGTCCAGAAAAAACAACTAACCTTGGTTCGTGTCATGTAAACAGAATGGCAGACGAGAGGTGGCCAAAGAAAATATTAAAATGGATCCCAACCGAAAGAAGGAAAAGAGGGCGTCCAAGAAGAAGCTGGCGAGATGACGTGAATGAAGCCATGGAAGGAAGACAGCTAAATGAAGCCGGCACCCGAGATAGGAAAACGATGGAAACTAGGGACAGGAAAACAACGACAGTTGTAAACACACCTGTACTATATATATACTGGAATGAATAATATTTACCATGCTATGATCAAAATTTAAAGTAATTACTTAAATTCACTTACTGATTGTAGCAACATTTCCAAACGTATTGTTTTTTTCTATGAATGTGGTACAGTTCCATCGACTGAACGAGAATATATTCTGACATTCTTCTATAGCCAGTCGAGCACTATTCCCTAAAATCTAAAAAGACTTATTAGTATATTTACTTAGTTTATTTAAAAGTATTTTATGTAAAAATATGAAAATTTATTCTCAGTACATAAATATTTAAGACCCGGAATGTTTGTACATCGCCAACCATTCAATCACAAATTAAACCCTTAATTTGTAATCTCACATTAATCTTAACGTATCATATCATGTACCTATGTAGTTTTTTACCTATAATATAATTTAGTTATGACGTTATTTACCTTCCGGCAGAATTGGATCAGTTGCTAAATTATGTTGCAATAATTTCATAGTTCGAATTATATTTGTGTAAACATCTAGGTAAAAAACTACAAGTTACGAAGTACAAGGTTACGACATATTTGATCAATTGTTCAATTAACAGAATATTTACCCCAATAAAGAACCTTAAGGTAGAGGTCGGAGAGATTTAAGATTAAGGTAGAGAATCATTGCCAATCTATACCGATATCAGAAAGCCATAATACGAATCTATCTATCTATCTAATTAGCCTTCTTCGGTCCATCTTTGGACATAGGCCTCCCCATTCCTTTTCCATTCTTCTCTGTCTGTCGCTACAGTCATCTATCTAGAGCCCACGTGCTTCTTGATATCATCTGCCCATCTCATTTGGGGCCTTCCTCTGCTTCGTTTATATTCCCACGGTCTCCAACTTATAAGTAATTTTGTTCCATCGGTCTTCTTTTTGTCTTATATTGTGTCCGGCAAATCTCCATTTTAAATTTTACAACTTCTTGTCTAACATCCCTCACTTTTGTTTTCTTTCCTATCCACTCGTTTCTCTTCTTATCCATTAGTCTTATGTGCAACATTTGTCTTTCCATTGCTCTTTGGGTTTTTATGATTTTTGTCCATGTTTGCTTTTGTAGATGTCCGTGTTTGGGAACCATAAGTAAGAAAAAAGAGTACGCATTGATTATATACTTTGGTCTTAAGATGCTGTGGATATCTTTTGTTTTTAAGAATGTAGCTTAGTTTGCCAAATGCCGCCCATGCCAGTCTAACTCGTCTCTTGATCTCTGCTGTTTGGTTCTCTTTGTTAAGTTTTATAGTTTGACCAAGATATATATATATATATATATATATATATATATATATATTATATATATATATATATATATATATATAATATATAATCCTTAACTTGTTCTATTTCATCTTGTCCGATTCTCATTTTGATGTCTTCATCTGTATTTGTTATAGTTTTGGTATTGCTGTAATTCATATTAAGGCCTATTTTTCCAGCTTCTACGTCCAGTTCTTTCATCATTTCAAATAATTTCAAATAATTAGTTCTTCTTTTTTATCGGTTATCAATACGATGTCATCAGCGTACCTTAGATGGTTCAAGCGTTGTCCACAAATTTTTGATACCTTTTTTATCCCATTCTAATCTTTTAAAAGTATCTTCAAGAGCCTGATTGAAAAGTTTCGGTGATATTGTATCACCCTGTCTCACGCCTCTACTTATTTGTAATGATTTTGTTCCTTCATATACTTTAATTGTTGTTTTGGCTTCCTTATATATATATATATATATATATATATATATATATATATATATATATATATATATATATATATTGGAAATTAGTTCCGTATATCTGTGGTCAATTCGGCTGTTAGTCAAAGAACTTTTCACTGCCCAATGTTTGACACTGTCGAAAGCCTTTTCGAAATCTATGAACGCCATATATAGAGGAATGTGGTATCCATTTGCTCGTTCTATAAGTATTTTCATACTTAGTAAATGGTCACTTGTGCTGAATCCCTTTCTAAAACCAGCTTGTTCTTTCGACTGGTATCCATCGAATTTTGTCGTCAATCTATTGGTTTAAAATTTTTGTTAG